TGCGCCATAGAAAAATTTTAATTGCAAAAGGGCGCCGCGACTAGGAAAAGTTTGGGAACCACTCACTAGGTGCGTTCTTCTAGATTTTCCTACAAATATTACCAAGTAGCGAAACTTTTTTTGATATAGAATTAGTTAACATTACTTATTTACTCAGACTACATGGTTTTGAGCTTTAGTCTCAGAGCAGTGTTATGAATAGCAATTTGAGCCACGGTATTTGTTTCAGAAGAGGCATGCATACCTTCGTAAAGCAGATTAAGACCGTGATTTGGCCAGCTTAGATCTGCATTGCTTCCTTGATCCAATCGGTCTGTTGAATATGGTTTGGCATTTTACACTTGTTCTATTTGTACAAGTAAATCTCACTGATAGAAAGCTTACTTTTGTTCGTTGGGGAGACTTTCATTTCGTAGGAAAGTGCATGATTAATAGATTCGAAGGTCAAACTCATCAGAAGTCGACGACAGATTCCCGTTGCAATGCAGCTGATTGGCTCTTATACGACGTTCATGTTAACGTAGTCCACGAGACATCCTCCTTCACTTCGGGTGAAAACGGGCTAAGCTTTCGTCCATCATTACTAATGTGCATCATCGGAGCTGGAACTGATTCGTGTAAAAGTCTAAAGTTAACACTAGATCAGGAAGACTAGCCAGATCCGTCCTACTTGCTATATATACTTATAGTAAAAATATGAAAATATACAGATACACTTTTATACGAAATGAAAGTCTCTCAAATATTGTTATCTTAAGAGATTCATCGAAACCTAGTCGCTTAGTAAACATGATTTGAGGAAAATTATCATCGTACTTTCTAGCCTCAGTAACTACCCTCATTTTTTGAAGATAAAATTCAATTCTGAATTGGTTAGCCTGAAGAACTTCTTAAGGCCAACATCAAACTGACATATAGGGTTCCAAAGACGTTCCAGCTCAAGGAAATTTGGCTCGAAGACCTAAGCCTGGCTGAAGAGATGGCCGAGGCATTGAGTAGACAAATTCTCTGGTTCGAAAGATTAGATAATTATAAGTTATATTCGCCCACAAGGCTTCTCCGTTAACTTGTTGATACTCATACATTAAATAAGACATATAAAATTCATCAATTAAATTAGAGTATAGGAAAACCAGATGTCCTTGACATTAGATTTTCTCCATCATAAAGAGGAGAGAGCTGAAGTTCGCAGGTTGGCATGGCCGCATGCGAAATAGACACATTGCTCATTAATTCGTCTTCCAGATTTTAACCATTAGTGGCTAGTTGGGAAGACGAGTACCGATCACTTCTAAGAATTAGTATATACTTTTAGATTGCTTGGCTCACCCCAATCATCGACTCTGACTGTGAAGTAAAGTTGGGACGGCAACACATCATCCAGATCGTTGCTGGTGCGCAGTAACACCTTGCTGGTAGTGATAACCCCGGTGGTAGGCGCGATCGTTAAGAATTGTGTAGGGTTGCGGAAAAATGTGTTCGGAGCAAATGTGAAGGTGAGCTGTGTCCTGGCAGCCACAGGATCGTCAAGGTCAGTAGCTGCAACCTGAGGGATAGAGAGCAAGAGAGAACAATGCGCATATTATGCTGCCTGAATTCTGGGATTTTAGCCGACCTGACAGTCGAATTTCCAAGATTCATAGCTTATGAACCCAATGGCTCGCATTACAAATCTCGAGAAATCCTCGTTCTAAACCTGTTTAGGAATAAACACATAATTCAAGGGAAGATAGTCAATCAAATTACAAAACTTTCCATCAGCCGCCAATTTGGCATTCGGTAGTACGCGATCAGACAGAAACGTCCGCAGAACTAAGAAATGATGTTATTGTGGAAACTTTCATTTCGTATACATGCTCAGAGCGAAGTGATTCGTTGGTCTCTCTCACCATAAGACAAAAGCCGATATAGTAACACGGTCAAAGGTCAAAGAGCGGGAATATCTTTTTACAAAAGCTTCAATTTAACACTCGGTCAAGAAGGCTATCTGGATCAATCCTACTTGCTATAGCTCTCTTTCGTATTAATCAGGAGTTTGTATATATATATATATAAATGTGTGTGTGTACGTGTGTGAAGGTCTGTGCACAATGACGACCAGAGTAAAGTCAAAAGATCCTGACTTCATGTCCGGGTCCTAAACTTATGATGTCTGTCATATGATGGACGAAAACTCAGCTCGTTCTCACCCGAAAAGAAGAAGGATTTTATGTGGACTTCCTATTAAATCCAAACGACTGCGGAACAACGGAAATCAGCTATTTTCTGCCGTTGAGCTCGACCTAGGAATGTCTTCATCTTCCACAACAGTCTTATTTCATGAGACCCATAGAAACCCAGCAGCTCATCGTACATACAAGATGACTTGACCCTGAAGATGTTTGTCATCTGATGGTAGGAAGCACCATCGATACTCAGCAGAATCTGAGGATGAGCAGCCGACGAAAGGAGCCAGAGTTTCAATGGCTAAAGTTAATTCGTGAATTGGCCTCACTGGACACGGAAGGAGTGAAGCCCATTGGATGGCTTCCTTGCACGATTCATCAGCCTCCTTCGGTTACCGATGGGGCCATTTCAAGCATGCCTTTGCTAACTAATTTTGCTGCTTCGGTGTCCCGGTCAGCCAGGCCCCCAGCGGGGAGGATGGACTAATGCCGACTGTCGCCATGAGTCTACCACTTCACCACTCTATCACTCCGGCCCCCTGTACCTCGGGCCAGTGCTGTGCTCACCAGCGGCGCAAGCGAGTGTGACCCGCAGAGGCCAAGCTACAACCTTAATGGGGCTGAATGTGGTGCAACTCCTTCACACAACCGCGCAACATCTATATATATATATATTTGATCTTGCCTACAGACAGCTCAAAGTGACAGCTAGTTAATCGTTTACTCAGTCACACTCTAGGCAGTCGGATGGTGAAGAGAATGAGAACAACAATTAATGCGACGACTATGCGCACAGCCACAAAATGTCTCCTGACACACCCTTGTGTCCATTCACAGTTAATATAATGACCCCATGCAGGGCAAGGATGAGTGTGCCAAGTGTGATATGTGCGAATCGATTGGTCCAATTGACGGAATCAATACTATCGACTGGTGGTACTAATCAGACGGTTGATTAAATGAGTGTTGGCTGCCATTAGAATACAGGTAAAAATCAATTTCACGAAATATCCTGTTTTACAAGTGTTGGGCTCACTTCGACTTTGGGTGAAGGTATGTGTAAGCAGGAGATTCGAAGTTTGTGCCCCCCAGAAGACGACGCTGCATTCCACCTGGTCATACGTTACTTGGAATTAGTAGAAAACCATATATATATATATATATATATATATATATAAGAGATTATAGACCCATAAATCTTTGCGAAGTATAGATTACTTGGGTAAGTTCATGTCATATACCGAGCTGGCTCCGAGTAGTTTCCATATAAATATTCTTCAAGGCTATGAGTATTTCTTGAATAAGAACTCAGTCTAGGTCGCCTAAGGTGACTTGACGTCTGATAATGGAGTTCTTCCCACATTGAGCTGTGTAGGCCGTACATTGCCATTGCATTCCTCTTAGCCGTGTCGCCCAAAAGTCTATCTCATTGATGGTGGGCAGGATTGCAGTTTCGACATCGCTTAAGTCTAATCAGTATCTGCAGTAGAATTGGCTATCATGTCGCAAGATCTTCTCTCATGAACCTTTTTTCATCAGCATCACTCCAGTTGCATAACATCACGTACGTCTTGATGATTAAATGAGATTGTTAATCTGTATGTGTGTGTGTGCGTGTGTGTGTGAATCTAGAGGTATAGAAAGGGTTACCTCAATCAGAGCCGTGGCCAAGAGAGAACCAAACGCTCTTTACTTCAAAATGATACATAGGTCTGGGGAACGTACACAGTATGAAGAGTTAGGTCGGTGAGTGTTTTTAACTTGTTAGCTTGAATTAATTGTAGGAATGATAGCCGGCTCCGAGACTCAGCTATACGACAAACGAAAGCCCAGCACGATTTAACCGGAATGTAATGAGATGACGGATTGAGAGAAATTGTTTGGAGTCAATCTGAATATAAATGTATCTGATATGCAGCAGGAGACCTGAGATAAACGTTCACAGTTCGCTTGGAGTACATGGGTTGAAGTACAAAGATGAGCCGTAGCAGCAATGGCTATATTTGCAAGCTTATGAAGCAGAGTATAGGCACTCTACTCGGTGATACCACAGTATACGCACAGACCATGAGAAATGGCGCCTTAAGTAAAACGCATTATATGACTGGAACCGAGTGAAATCCATCAGCCTGTAGGAGAACAAACAGATCTCCGGGACAATGAGGGATAGGAAGTCCACGTTGAATCAGTACCTGCGGTTAATCGAGAGAGCGAGGGGGGGGTGGAATCAAGGTGACAAGCGAGTCTGATAATGTTCCATTATACTAACCAACAAAGGCACACCTCGAGTGTAGTCGAATCTAAACAAGTTAGAAGTTGTGATGGCGAAGGCGTTCATGATAATAAGATTGGTAAAACGTACTAACAATGCCGATTTCGATGCTGAAAAACTTTTGGAAATGTAGCCAGTTCACGATCCGACCATAGGAATTGTCATACCTACTGTGGGCAAGGTGAGTCAAACTATCTTGCCTGACAACACGATCGAATTGCGTACACCAAGAGACTAGATGGACCGACGACTTGGAAGTACCCACTCCGATTGAGATGGTCGCAAGCTCCGATTGGCTTGCTTTGATATCACATTTGCAGCTTAGGCACATGAACAAATAAAACCTGAATACCAACCCTAGCTATTGGTATGTGTAATATCTACATACGATTTCTTGCCAACCAAAGCATTCAGAAGAATCACAATCAATTCTGCAAGAGTGAGAGACTTAATCTCGACAACTTTTCATCATATATATATGGTCAGGCTGTTTTCGATGTGATTGGTTTTCAAAAGTAGACTTATTGAAGATATAAGTAAGGATGTCCTTTAATATGGCAATTTCCCGGTCGCAAGCAAGCAGAATGCACAATATTTTTTTGCCAAAACAAACACAAGCCACACAAATTTACTCGAAAGCCTAAAACTATCTACACACCCTCACATATATGTATATATATTTTTTTTTATGGAACAAGAGTATATATATATATATATATATACTTGTATATGAGGGTGTGTAGATAGTTATGGGTGTTCGAGTAGATTTATGAGGCTTGTGTTTGTTTCGGCGAGAAAAGATAGTGTAGTCTGCTTGCTTGCGACACCTTCACGCTGGTGCAGACTCCACACGCTCATCCACATATTTTCACACAAATCTACTACCAATCCAGAATGCTCCACAGAATAAATGCATGCTTGCCCTCTCTCAACGAAGCAGAATAACAGACAAACACACCCAGATAAACACACAACTCCACCTCGATCCCCGCACGATCAAATGTTGACTCCTCTAAGCCCGTCTCAGTATGCCTCTCCACGTTCACACGTGCGCATGCACATGCATTCATTGGTGTGCTGGCGTATTGGAGGCAATTTGGTGTACTTTAGTTTACTTTGGAAAGTAGTGCCTGAAATCTGCAGATCGGTACCACCGAACCACTAGACCGGACTGATTTGCAGCTGTTATGATGACACTCGAGGGGAGCATCGCTTCGAGCAGTCGCCCTCGATTTGCGGTGATTTAATCAAGCATAAA